TGGATAGAGGAAGGAAGCCAGGTGCCCAAGCAGCTGGCCTTGTGAGACTGATTTTCGTCTGGCGTCTACCCATTGACCGTTCAGGCATGATTGGATCTACGGCTGTGAGAAGCAGTGTTTCAGGACTTGCTTGCTCTATGTTACTGGTGTGTGGGACAGGTTCTGGAATCTCAGTTTATGACTCAGACCGTAAGATTGTGATTCGGTTGCACAACCTAGTTCCTCCAGTTACCTCTGTTATGTTCCACCTTGGAGAACATCATACGTTGAGCATGCTAGTCGGAAACACGCGAAAACCATGTCAATCTAAGACGTGTTCGACTACAAATAACCCGCGATCAATCCATCGGTATACACCTGTTGACTCAGTTGTCTTCACAATATATATATATGTGTGTGTGTGTGTGCAATTTATGCAGCGGAAACATTGATATTAGAGCACTATGAACTTTTAGGTCTTCTACAATTAACGGTTACACTACTGGAAGATCTGCTGGAACTGGTCGAACTGTTGCAAAGAACATTCGACGATGCAGCAAGCCCTAACACGGAAAAATGGTGATATCGGTAGTAGCAATGGCCGATTTAGATCTAGCCTATGGAGTTAGTTTTTGAAACGGGGGAGAAACTGTTATCTTCAACAACTTCAACAATAAGGGCTGATCATGAAAAGGTATCATGTGCGATAGTCAATAAGCGGAAAAAAGATAGCCGTTCAAAACCGAAGCCAGATGAATATTTAACAGAATTCCAGATTAACGTCGTTAATCATCGTTAGCTCTAGATGACTTACGGAAACAAAGCATCCAAGATTCGCTGTCCGGTGAGAAGTGGATGATTACCCGGCAGTTTTTCCGCGACCGGGCGTGGTTGACGAACGGGCCAAATTTGCAGCATTGAATGATGACTGACTTGGTCATCGAATTCGATCTCAAGAATTTTGTCCTATAAAATGAAGAGAAGAAGCAGATGAACAAGTGTCACGTGAATGATGACAAACAAGAGTACCAGGACCGAAAATAACTAAAAACGGATCACGAGCAAGTACAACAGACTAACTGAAAGTTGCATCAATCCACTCTCTTTATTTAATGATTTGAAGATTAATAAAATTCACGGTCATCAATTATATGTCTGATTGCAATTTCTTCGGTCGACACAACTTCACGGGCAAATACAATGTTCGGGGAGAGTGGGTAACTGAAGTACTTCCAATAAAAGGGAACCACACAATAGATCCATAGAGCTCCTGATGCCTGTGAATTCATACCGATTAAAACAATAACATGTTAAAATTCTCTTCTGGTTCATCATAGCGCATTGCGTGCTAACAGTCAGTAAGACTTTTCGTATGAAGAAGAACCGAAATCCTCGGAAATGTACTCAGCATTCACGAATCCCAGCAGAAAACGTGTACTTCCCGAGGCGTAGTAATCAACATCAGAGGTACGGGCGACTGGTGCCTTTGGAGCCACGGTCAAATGCATGGTAATGCCAGGTAGGTGCTACCATTTCCGTTCAAAATGACAAAATTTGCACCGCGATCCACCTTAGACGTTTGGCATTATCAATGCGTATACGTATACGTAATTACTAGTATGAAGAAGCAAGACGAAAAGAACAAAGAACAAATAAATAGCGCTGAACAGGGTAGGATAAATGCTCGATTTTATTTTACCAGTGTTATAGACAATCGGTCGCACTAATCGGTCACCCAAATCAGAGTAAATTTCTTCACCTCAGGCCTTTAACAGAATATTTCAATTCGCAACGTAATGGAGCGTCCCTTCCGTCCCATCCATTAGGAGTTATGGTCTGATGTACAGGATATCTAATACACTAATTGTATATCGCATATTCCTGGGATCAGTCCGCAGATCTCATGAGTGCTTTAAAACTAGGATTTCTCTAGTTCCGTAGAAAAGCGTGTTTCCAGCGTTTCGTTAACCCAGCTGCAGACCCGTAGACTGGCTTTTCGTCCTCTCAATTAGGTGAGAGTAAAGCAGCCAAGAAAAGGTGGTCAGTAGGTGTTGACCGCATGGCACTATGAGGTATTCCGAGAAAAAACCGGGACGATGAAATCTGCTTTCAGACTATTGCACGCGAAAAATTGATATCGTTATTGCGATTTAACTGGAAAATCAGTAAATGATTGCATAGTCACGATATTACCAAAGCACACTACAGACTTACACAGTTTGCGGACTTCGACTGGTTTCATTTGCACTATAGAAGGATGAATACATATCCCTCCACGAACCCGAAATCGAAGATTACAAAGATGCCTACAGTTGAAAGCCAATGACACAACCTATCTGGAGTTAGTCCACTCCTAGCAAAAATGTGCTCGTTATGGTAAAACTCCGGTATGTGGAAAAACTATGAATTGTTTTAAGAACAACAGAACAACCTCAGTAAGTAATTGAGTACGGCAGAAAAAGTTTGGTTAATACTATGAAAGGCAGCTGTTCACCTTGATTGTGTAATGGCCTGCAGGAGCAATCCACCGAATAGTCCCCTGGGCTTTTGGTGACAACATGATCCGATGTTTGACTAAGGTGTTCTCATGAACCACACCATAAATATCTCCACCAGTGATGTGCATACCCGGCCGCAAAGAGGCTGTAGGTGTGAACTCCCACTCGACCGTGCAATCCAAAGATGGAATGTTGACACCCTTTGGAATGTAGATAGAGTGAGTGAGATCACAAATTCCCTTTAGCGGACGCTGAATACCTGAGATGAAATGAAAGAAAATTAGCAGATGAGGTTTATTAGGTAACAGCAATTACCACAAATACGATTGGACGTAGCGACTAAATGGGACTTCTCATCACCCCAAATCATAATAAGCCAATTGTACATAAGCTGATTTATTATAATACGATATTATTTGCTATCCAACCGCCATGTAACGGTGAGCATGTTGCGGCTGAAGAATACATATAGCACAGTTTCCTGAGAAATCTGACTCCTCAACAGTGTTGAACCAACACAAAAATGGGTCACCATATGATGGTAGAGCCTAACACAACTCCACTATCTTGAGTGTTGCGTTTTGGACAACCAAATGCTTTCTGGACAGGTACAAATTATAGAACTGGTGAAGTTCGGTGAAATACTCTATAATGGCTTGCGTCCCTCCATGACCCTGCGAGCTATACAGGATGGCTCCTCACAGACCCAGATCCAATCATGCCTGAACGGTCAATGGGTAGACGCCAGACGAAAATCAGTCTCACAAGGCCAGCTGCTTGGGCACCTGGCTTCCTTCCTCTATCCACACCCGCCCCTGGAGAGGTCACTCAAGCAAATAAACACGGTGAGGAGCCGTTTACCGGTCGAAACCCCCCTCTAGATGGACGTAGGAGCGGGGTACCTGGGACTTCCTCTCGACGGTGGGAGAAATCTTCGCACTTCATTGGACAGCTACCGCCCGCCCAAGCTGGGCAGGCCCCAGCCAATAAGATGCTGTCCCGTCCACGTTCCGCTTGTCTCATTGGGTGCATGAGGCTAAGGGCTGATCACGAAAAGCGGACCGTCAACCAACGCACTAGCGAACAAGACACTGAATCGAAATTCAAAGGCCTTGCGTGACAGGTCTCCAGAAGCTCCCACACGGGTGCTTCGTCCACGCTCCCTCGTTGGATTTACGCCCCAATGCCTTGTGGGTTAGACATCTAAGTCCAAGGCTCCGGTTAAGGTTCCCAAAGAAAAAACCCTTCGTTGGTGGGCTGCCGCGAAGTGTGCCGTGCCCCAAAGTCTTAGGTACCCATTTGGAAAACCATCTTTCCCAACTGAACTGAATTACAACCAATTGTCATCGGGAAAAGCAGAATATTAAATAACTCAAGAGATGAACATTCTGAGTAAGAGACGCGATTAAGTTACGATAAAAGGAGCAATACGGGTCATGATCCAACAGGTGGGTTCCACTTCAATCGAGAAGCATGCTCAAAGCGACTGTCCATCAGCGGTAATTTTTCGACGTCCACATGCTTCCCGCCACAACGGAGTGGAAACGGCGAAACAGGGTGAGGTGCGATAGACACCTGCTAGATCTGTGCAACCAAACCAACGAAGCCTATTCTTTGGAATTCGTTGTAACCATTGTTTTTATCGAGACACTCACAGACAGGCAAGCAAGGTTTCGTGAAACCGCTCATTCTACCTCGCCTGCATCGAACTACGCCTACCCTGCGTCTAATAATCATAAAACGGAGAGGAACATGTATAAAAGTAAAACCGGTCTATTTGGTGATAGGTAGCTTTGCTATCGTCCGGTTCAATACCACGCCTAACCTAAGGGAACCTTAAGTGGTTCACCACTCCGGAGCTTAGGTTGCCGGTTTCCTACATTAAAGGCAGCGTCTTCGTGACACCTCCAAAAGCCTCAGTATGATTGGGGGTGCGGGTCTAGGGTTGCGGCTGGTCACTCTGCCCTTCCGAAATGCTCCAATACGACCAAGCGTCCCAAATAGTCTCTGTTGAGGAAGCCCTTTCTTGGCAAAGGTGTTTTCACAGTAAAGTGAGGGGACAATAAGCCGATATCCGGGGCAATAAACGGGTTGGTGGACCACTGGTAGTTCACCTAGAGGAGTTGGCCAAAAACCCTGATTCCAAACCAACCATGAGGCGTACGAACCACACGCCTTCATGGTTGTGACAGTGGTTACCAGCTCAATGGGGTATCAAGGTGTATTGGGCACCTTGGACGTTTGACCCCGTCCAAAGGGCACATGATTTGATGAACTGGACAGCGGACCCCAATGGAATGCAGCTTTTGCACACCGCCCCGCTGCCTTGCGGGTCGGGCTTTGGCAAGCTAAAGGCTCCGGTTGTGGATTCCTCAAGAGAATTTACCTACCTTGGCCTGGGAAACTTGGTAGTATTTCGCCTAGATGCAAATCATGGAGCGTCTCTCTTTTTTAAAAAATACTGTACCATGATTTGTTTGGCATACAGTCTGGATTTAGACGTGTGTAAAAATAATAGATAAATGAAGTCTTCGTAACTATGGGATCCACCCCGTCTGATGTTCATCATACAAATGTGTAATAAAAAGAATATTAAATCCCATGGGACGTCACATTGGTATACCTCATTACACACCTATTAAAGTGCGGTGAACGCTTTCATTGTGTCACCATAAACTGTTACAAAACTATGTTTGTAGAAGTAATCAAGCCGAATATCCGATCATGCCTGGAAGGCTGAACAGCAGAGGTAAAACAAAGTAAGGTTAAAATGCTAGGTACAGTTTGCTCGCTGTTACGACTATCGTTACTTACATAGAACATCGATGAAAACGAATGACAAACAGAAAAATTACTACCATCGAAACAGTATTCTGCCGTCCAATTCCACCTTTAAACACCCTGATCCGTTACGGGAAAAAGAAATCGCCAATTGCATTTGATTGGAAACTAACCAACTTTAATCTCAATGGGTGAAGCTAACTAACACCTCGTTCACCTAGCCGGCTGAAGTAACGCACTGAGAAATAAATTCTTCCAGAATTTCTGGTTTTCACCTGACATGTAGGGTGGTGATCAATCGGTTAAGGTCAACGTGTGTTCGAATCCCGGTGCGGTCGCCAAACTTCAACCTACTACGTGTATCCCCAAGCAGCGCCTCAATGGTCGCAGCCCTCCCGCTTTCTGAAAATTGGTATACGTCTAATAATATCGTCGGAGTGGGGAAACATATTACATTTGCTGGAAAAGTTTTCTAAGTAAAAGCACAGTGAAACTTACCATCAAAGATGTTATTCACAATTCCCGGTCCGAGTTCGACCGATAATGGTTTGCCCGTCTTCAGCACCGGGTCACCGACGGTCACTCCGGCTGGTTGCAGTAGTAAGTAATGAGTTAAGTAACGTGCAAAAGAAGTGAAAAGAGAGCCGAGAAAGACGAGTTTGATAACACACGAGAACAATCGCAATCAATCCGCAATCCCGGTCCGAGATATTCATGAAGCCGGCTTATCCTCTTGAAGGAGATAGTGAATGAAAGTGAAAATATAGAGCCCTAGTAGACAAACTGAATGTGATTTACGAAGCATGAACAAATATTTTTGAGGTGGCCTACAATTCATTGACAAGTTTACTGGACGTGCTTTCACTATTGGTTAACCGATGCTGATTGCAGCCGAAAGAACCCACATCATGTGAACTCACAAAATCGATTCGTTTCAGTGAATCAGATCTCAGTAGTGAGTCATCTACGCTGCCCGATTTAACCGACGTTATGTCTGTCTAAACTCAATTATTCGTCTATGCAAACTGCTTGAACGTAGAAATTTTCTTGCTCACCGATCTACAGGTCAGTTACGTGCGTACGCTATAAATACATGGATTATTTACTTACTTAACCGACAACAGGCATCGATTTTGTTTGCCTAGAAGAAGTAAACGCGTATTTTCAATATTTGTGTTTTAATATTCTCTGAATGATCACATCTTGCTTGCACCCCAGCTATTAAAAGTTATTAAAAGCACTTACCCAACATGTTCGAAAGGAACAGATAGGCACGTTTCAAAAAGTTCTCTTGCAACGAAAGAAGCAAACAGAACAAATTCTTGGGCACTGTAATACTATTTTCGATGGAGAACTACCCTAATATTTATACCACTCAGATAACTGACAGTAAAAGATTATATTTTTCATCCATTGACATAGTTCTCCGATCGCAAACTGCTAGTACCACGGTTTTGCATCTGCACCTTCAATTCCTCGGATGCTTCACGATCATTCCCATTGAGAATGTTGAAACATCCATTCAAAGTAACCAATCGTATATATATAT